TGTGAGTCAGTGTGAGTTAGTGTGAGTGAACTCTGTCTTATTGCAGAACGGTTAGGCTTTCTACATTCATGTGGATAGCTAAAACTTTTACACACCTGACGTCTAAATCTAAAATCAGTTACACGGCAGTCTTCGTACCATCTGCCTTCATTTTCATCTCCACTTGAACGGACACGGATCGCTGTGTCATGATTCTGTCCATCGTATTTAGACTTATTGCAGAAGAGCAGTGATTTGCAATAAGGAGCCACGATCAGCGTTTTCCTCCAGACACCTGTTGGCTGCAACAGCTGTGACGCCTTCGAGCCAACGAGCCAACGAGCCAACGAGCCAACGAGCCAACGAGCCAACGAGCAGGCCGTAACAAGTTGTGGTCAGACCTGACTTATATCTGACCGCAGGAATGCCGTTCGTTACCAGCTGTGACAGCACGGCTGGGATTGTTTTCACCTTAAGTGTGTGTTTGTGTGTGTGTGTGTGTGTGTGTGTGTGAGAGAGAGAGAGAGAGAGATAGCATTACACCTGTGCAAGATACAGTCAACAAAGCGCTTCGAAAACGGGTGTGGTGCCGAGATCCAGATCAGCTTGAGCGTCGCAGCTTCTCTCTCTCCTCTGGAAAAGATGCTCCATTTAGCATAAACACAATGGGGATCAGTGATTGGTCAATGGTTGGCCCGTTCACAGTTAATTCACGTCTTTGTCTGGCTCGTGATTGGTCAACTGATATGCTCCAATTGGAGAGCGACCGTGGGTGTCTACATCATCGTTTCCAAATGGAAACCCCCCAGAGTTTTTCAAACTAAAACGGGGTCAGCGGCGTTTCCAGAAGTCTCTGTCTCTGCCGACCAATGAGGCTCAGCAGAGGGAAAACGACCTCGCAGAGAGTTTGGCGCTCTGCAGTTATTTCAACGGCCAGTCCGGTGAATCGTGTGACTTACAGCATCTGCAGGTGAATCAATTAGCGGAGGAAAACTGCCTCTGAGAGCTCCCTCCCGCCGGCAGGCAGTTTATCACAGAGAACATCAGTTGCCGGCTTCAGTGAAGACATGCAGTGCTGTGTAGGCCTCGCTCGCCTCTTGTCTGCTGTCTTTTACCCCACCCCCACCCCTGTGCCACAGCGAACATGAGCTCCCTCACAGACCTTTTGGCTACTGCTGTCCTTTTCTGTCACTTGTCTTTTTAATTAATAAGCACTTCAGGGTGTGAATGTTGTGTGTAGATTAGGTTTAAGTTCATATTTAAGCGTCATATTTCTCTGATGAGGAACATAAAGGACATGACGTCTGTGCCCTGAAAGGTGGTTCATTGCTACATAAAACCAGTGTGATTCACACTGCCAACCAACCTCAGCATTCATCTGCACAGCATTTCTTTACAGTACATTGCAGGCTTGTTGAAAAATCTGGACCTCCAGTACTGTCACTGAAGCATTTTAGGAAAGAGATGGATGGCGCCTGTTTGTTCTGCCAGCTCAAGTTCAACCACCATTTTGGCTTTTTTCTCTTCTTTTCTTTTCTTTTTTTTTTTTTTTTTTAAACCTTAATCCATTGACGCAATTTGACAAAGAACACAACACAGTAACAAACAGCACACAGTGCAAACCGCCATGTTGAACTGTTTACCGGAGCAGATAGAGGTTACAATGCCTTTTTCTTCTTCTTCTTCTTCTTCTTCTTCTTCTTCTTCTTCTTCTTCTTCTTCGTCTTTTTCCCCAAAACCCAAAGTGCTGACAGGGAAATTAACGGACGTTGGATTGGCCGTGGTGACGAGAGCGTCCGCATGTGCCAATGTTTGAAAAATGAGCGAAGCTGGATGTAAATTTTGTTTGGACGTGCGCCGTCAACAGTTTCATGCACGTTCTGGCTGTATAAACCCATTTGCGCTGGAGAGGAGAAAAACTAGACATTCCTGTTCCCGTCCACTGAAGACCACGGGGGCATGGAGCAGCACTCTCCGATTGTATCATACAAGTCGAGCAGAGAGAGAGAGAGAGAGAGAGAGAGAGAGAGAGAGAGAGAGAGAGAGAGAGAGAGAGAGGTAGCCTTGAAGAAAAAGGACGAGAGGCTTAACAAAAGGTTGTTTGTGTGGGGGCGGGAGGAGCTGAGTGGGCAGGAGATGCTGTAAGAGGGAGAAGTCCTTTTTGGAATATGTCGCCGAGCAGATGACTTATATCACCGGAGCGTTTCTGTGGGTTTATGAATGACTGCGAGTGGGTGTATGTCTGTGTGTGTGTGTGTGTGAGACGGGGGATTTATTTAACCACAGCTTCCCGGAGTCGTTGGTAATTTCATGCTGATTCAACATATGTACTGACCCTACTGTGTGTCAGTCACAATCTGCTTACTTGCTGCAAGGGTGCGTGGGTAACGGTAATGTGACTGACTTGTGTTTGTCTAGTGTTCTTATCTTATGTGTCACAGGACACAGGAAACCACAGACGCTACTGATAGCACAGGTACTGTTGTACTGCCTGATCAGGTCCCTCCAGTCGGGGGGCCGAGTGATACCAGGTGTTCATGAGCCTGAACTCGGCTGAAACAGATGTCTACAGTTCTACAGCTCAGTCTGATGAGTCATCTTTAATTCAGCACATAAAAGATGAGTTAGATTATAGATTATAGATTATACCGTCACATTTCACTTGTAGACAACTGAAACTGGAGTTGTACAGTGGAGATACAGTATGTTGAATTTGAGTTGTTGGTAGTCTCAGTTTGTCTCAGTATCTCTACAAAGTGAGCAGACATATTTAAGTCATAGTTCAACAGTGACTCTTTGCTCTCTTGCTAACAGATGGACAGCCCGAGCCAGCTGAGTGTTAGCTTAGCTTAGCTTAGTTTAGCTTAGCTTAGCAGAAAGACTGCAAAACGAGCAAATTCTTTAACACTTTGTCTTGCTTGTTTAATCCGTACATTTCGCCTTTTTACAGGACTCAAGGGTTTATGTATTTTCTTACTAGTTGAGGCTGATGATGGGAACTTTGTTTGCTGTAGAAAAGGAGTAGGTGAATGAGAGTAAACACAGCTAAACAGAAAGCCGGAATCAGCTTCACCTGGTCTTTATGTCAGTGGGCATGTCTCTTAAAAATAGCAGCAGATGATAAAAAACGCATCTCTCCCACACATGTAGACCGAAGTTGCTGGTTTGACAGGGTTGGGGATTGCTCAAGACTCGTTTGTATCATCCCTGAGGTGACGCAGCGCCAGCTGTAAGTGGGCGCTCGTGTTTATTTACTTGAACGTTTTTTGACTGAAGTCTGGCACAGGATCATCAGGGCGTCAGATTCAACGATGAAGCTGATAAAAGTCAAGTAGGTTTGCCATGCATACAGCAGCATGCAAACACACACACACACACACACACACACACACACACACAAAGCCAGAGGTGTTTTTGTAAATGTGTGTGTGTGCTAACGTGCCTAATAACGCCCAGGGGTGCAAAACTTTCAAGTACAGACTCATGCTGGTGCTTGTAAAAGTGAACTTGTAGCACACCGGTGTTTACGCTCTGTATTCTGACAACGTGTGAGGAATAAAGATGCACAGGTACACACAGTTAATTAGTTTTATGTTGCCTTTCCTGCATCAGAAAGTCATGTTTATATTTGCACACGCTCTCGCAGGCAGCAGGGTCAAAGGTCGAGCTTGACCGCATTGCCGTAAACACTAAACACAACACCGCCGCCACTGCCGCCGCCGCCGCCGCCGCCTACGTCTCCACAGATGCTAAAAATAAAGGAAACGAAGCCAAATATAAAAGTCTGTCCGTAGAGAACAAGTTGAGTCGTCGGTCAACGTTCAGTGTGTCAGGTACAAAGTGAGACAAATGAGCTGCCTCACTTGTAGCTCTCTCATTTCCGATACTAATAACACTTGTCCTCCACTCAAGCCGTCACGGGTTACAGTACGTTTCCAAGACACATTCATATGATTAATACTTACTGTCTTATTATGTATTTTACTGTTGTTTTAAGGAAACACTTGAGTTCATGGCTGGAAATTACCAGTAGATGATTGTAGTGAAAAACATTACTATTACTGAATATATAGTATAATTATTATTAACAGCAATGTGATGTTTTTAATGATAAAAGAAATGGTACCAGCTGCCAACAACTTTCTATAAGCCGTCGAAACAGTTCAGAGTAAAACACCCACCCGTATAAAATATAGGGTATAATAAGCGTGACTCCCTCACAGCTGACGGCTTCTCCATTACGATGACAAATCACGGCTAATTAGTCCCACCCAGAGGTTTCACTCCCCACAGATGTTTCTCAGCTCACTGTGACTGAGCAGATTCCTCCACTGAAACCAGCCTCCATCTGTTCCCTAACCCAGGGTCAGCAGAGCGGCCAAACAGGCTTTCATGAAAGGTTACTATAATTTGGTGGGTGTGTGTGTGTGTGTGTGTGTGGGTGGGTGTGGGTAATAATTACAGTCTGGATTTTATCGGTTCACATAGTGGAGATATAAAGTGGATAATTGAGAATGTAGGAGCCGTGCCTTTAATTGACCTTTGGCTCTGTAAAACGTACATTTAAAATATTTTCTTACCCCCCTATTTTCTAAACTATGAACTGATCAATTCTCCATTTTGCATTTTTTGGTTCTGATCCACAAAACATCTCCAATAAACTCCATCTTTCCATCAACTACATGGATTTAATCCAGACAACGGTGTAAAGAAATACTCAAATGCTCCTTTAATATTTCATTCATGCGAGTGTGCGTGAGAGTTTCCGCCCAAAAATAATGTCCATCACAGGAAAACTATTACAACCACTTTCTTGGAGACTGGACTTAAACCAAAACCAATATTCAAATCATGTCGAAGTTATTAACTGTTAAAAGCCATTTACAAAATAATCATATTTTAAGAGATTCAATCATAAATCGGTAATTACTGTTTTGGATTTCTTTCTTTAAAACTAATATATGAGGATTTGTAATGTGTTTACTGTGCTTATCCTCAACGTCAGCGGTTTGTTTTCTTACCTTAGAGATGTATGCTTTGATGCCTTCGGCCAGTTTGATGCAGGGCTCTCCAAAGAGCTGGGCCAGCTGGTCCGGGATGTCCTGGTCCTTATCCAGAGCATTGAGTAAACTCAGGCACTTCAGCTCCTCTGTGACGCCCTGGCTACGCACCTACAGGACAAACACACATGGAGCAGGGACTGAGATGCTGACATATAGCCAGGGAGGCTTAATGTACCTATATAAACAAGTGTCATAACAGTTCCTATGGTGTATACGATAAACAGATTCATAGAGACAGATTCTGGGTAGATGATCCAATCGGAGAATGACAAAAATTTGGTCAACTGACTGAAACACCGTGAGAAAACCGACATTGGGCACAACAATCTCACAATGTCAGTGAACATAAACAACGACAACAACAACAACAACAACCACACAACAAACCCAGACTAAGCACAAAACAAGGGGATGCTAATTCCTCAACTCCTATGATTAATATAATTATAATTTTTCCATCCTGTACGTTCATATAATGTCATTACTTTCATTTCATTTCATTTTTTTATTGCCGTCATGGGGCATCGAACCACGTCCTGTGTTCCTGATGTTTAGCCAAAGAAGTCGTCCTCTAGTGTGCAATCACTCTCTCTGCACCTCCCTAATACGCTGCTGCGCTTTCAGTTCATCAACTCATTCTGTGTCCTCCTGCACGTGTTCCTCGTTATCTGTTTTGTTTCTTTAACATTATCTTGCGAGAGAAGTTTTGTACGAAACGCGTCTGTTTGTCCTTTCTACGGGGCAACGTATATATTTGTCTGAAAGAAAGAGAAAATGGAAAGAAAGAAAACACGCTGTGGATGTTACATGACGTGTCAAAAAATAAAAAAATAAAAACTGAAACAAGCTGAGACCAAATGTAGCTGAAACATGTTGGCCCCACACACAGGGCTGGGTCTCTCATCTGAAACACAACCTCTTATGTAACTGGATGCATGCGTGGTTGCACTGAAAGCTTTCTCCTGGAGTGAACCGAGCTGGCACACGTGTACGTATGCGGCGCATTTCATATCGAGACATCTAATAAGAGACAATTAAATGAACAGTTCCTGTGGGGCCAAAAGGGGAAACTGTTTCTTTTCCCTTTTGCCACGCCTCCTGTTTGGCAGCAACTTCCATCTAAATAAGAAATGCTTTTTCTGTAATTTTGGTCAGCACGGGTCGAATAAGACGTGTTTGGGAACTGAAGGCTTTCAGGCTGTGGAGCTGTGTGTGTGTGTGTGTGTGTGTGTGTGTGTGTGTGTGTGTGTGTGTGTCTGTGTATCCTTCAGGGAGGTTGTCAGCGTCACGGTCTGAAAGACCCGCTAATGACTCTATAACAAGCACTGATGAGCAGAGAGAGATTACAGCGCTGCACTCCTTCACTCCTGTTCTTTATTTGTGTTCATTTCTTTCTGCTTCACCCCCGTTTTCTAATGAAGCCCATTCCTTTTGTTTTCTCTCTCTCTCTCGCTCTGTGGTTTCTATTCTTTCTCTCTTTTTACTGCTTTCTTTGCCATCCCACTTTCATTCCCCTTTCTTTCTCAGCCTCTTTTTCTCTTTCCTCTGTGATGCAGTTCATGTTGATGCATGAGCAGATCTCCCTGTTCCTAGTCAAGATAGCAGTGTGTGTGTGTGTGTAACTGGATGTGTGTGTGTGTGTAAATTAGTTCAAACCAAGCGGGAAGGACAGGGCACTTACGGGAAAAGAAACGGGGCCACATCTCAACAGTCTCAACATGTTGCCCAGTCCTGAAAAGCATGACTCACGTCTTAAATGGCTTGACATTCGCGGACGAAACATAATGAGTCTAATTCGACACACATGTCATTATTCCAGTCGGTGCACATTCCGGTTACAAGTTCTGTAGGTCACCTTTGGGAGGCCTTTAATATAAAATGAGGTCAAATTTTTTTTGCAGAGTGCATAAAGAACTTTATATCCTCCAAAAACCTAAAAACCGTGTCAGTAAACTACACACAAAATGCTCAGGCATGAATCTAAAACTGTATTCAATGCTTTTTAGCCATTATTTTGGCAAGTACTTTTTCCTGTGGGCAGCAACTAGCTTGTCCCTAAGTAGCATACTTGAATAAATGCACTGAGTGCCAGGGACTTGGCTTAAAAACCTGTTGCTTTGGCCACGCATATTCACGTATTGTTCATTGTCTTTCGGCACTGCGATGAGAGAAGAGGAAGCACAGCAGGTTGCCATAGATCATCTGCATACAATCAGGACACATCCACAGCAAAAAACTGCTGACAGTGAAGTCTGGGCAGAGACAGTTGGACTGTTGTGAGGGAGCGTGTGATGACAGCTACCACTGTCAGAAGTGTTGGGGAGGTTCACACATGCATGACTGGATCTGAGCTCGCGCGGCGCAGCGAAAGTCGGCCTCGTTTCTTCCTGGCGCCTCTGCCAAAACACACTCCCTGCTTTCGGTGGTTCTGGTTGAAGGATTGATTGTTATTGAGGAGTGTCTTTTGTATATGAGAATGAAAGGTTGGGTTTACGGGGCATGCATGCATGCATACATGTGTGTGTGTGTGTGTGTGTGTGTGTGTGTGTGTGTGTGTGTGTGTCCATTAAGGTTTGACAGGGCTAATAGGGAGTGTTTGATCCATTATGGGAAACAGTCCTGTCCATGCTAGCGAGCAGATAAAGCTGAAAACAAGAAAAAGAAAAAAAACTCCTCTGCTCCATTAGTGCACGGAGACGAGGCCAGAGGCTAAATCAAGCTATGCACACAGGCATTATCACCACGTTAATGTACTCTCCTTTCTCAAGGTTTAAAGTGCATGGGGAAACTTCTCCCCGAGCAGGAGATAATTCAATTTCAGAGATAGATCCAGATATCATGCAACATACAGTCATAAAACTATATATCCACTTCCTGTTTCAGCTCAGTCCAGGTTTCTTTGGATTAAACACTTGCTGCTGTTTTCTATTTCACCCCTAAAATTTGATTTTGTATTTCCTCTGCTCGGAAGGTTTTCCTGCCAGTTTTGGAACTGGTCGTCCAAATAAGTCAAATCTACATTATATCACTCAACAGGATTTTAGTAGTTATATAATTTTAAAAAAATGCCATTGTGGGTGTTTTTAATCCCAGAATGTGTGTTTGAATCATAGTTAAACATGTTAGCATGCTAGCATTTGCTAATTAGCACTGGACACAAAGTAAAGTGGAGGCTAAAAATAAATCACATGCTTGTGTTTCTTCTGGTCCAGCATATTCCCGGTTCCACGGCCCCAGTCTGGCCCATGCACAGCATGATTATCATATGCTACTTCCACATCTGGTCCAATTTTTGGCACACACACAGAAAATCCTCTGGGCTGTTAGCCACCACCAGAAGATAACAGCCGGAATCTGCCCAGATGTGGAAGTACATGGGCCAAACTCAGACCGAGGGCCCAGGCCAGAAGTTTCTTTCTGCTGTCTGGGATTGGACGAGGTCAAATTTTGACCTGATGTTGGCACTAGATCAAAAGTAAGGGGATCACCATAGTCATTCAGGTTCATCCTCTATGGACCATGAATGTCCGCACAGCATTTCATGGCAATCCAATAGATGTTGTGATATTCCAGTCTAGACCGAAGCGATGGTCCAACCGATCAACAGACCAACACGCTCCAGGCCTGTTTGGGTTTTATCACTCTGAACTTGCTACTGAGAGAATTAGAGGTCAGATAAACTTGTTTTTTATGTCAGAATTAGTTTTCGCTCTTCTCTCAGCAGTTATTTCTGCATTCAAATGTAATTGCACTCCTCTACACTGAACAGTCTGGCCGGCTCTGTTAGCACAACCGTTGACGGAACCAAGCTGCTTCTTCCTCCTTCCAAGTTTGGCCTCCTAAAATGGTCTTTTCCTCCATTTCTTATGCACTTTCCTCATTCTGCCATTTGCTGCGAGCTAAACTGTGCAGCTCTGTTGGCTTGTTGTATCAGTGTAATTTGCCTCTCATTCCTCTCACATGACTATTCTGTTACATCGCCCTGTCATTGATTTGCATCATAACAATATTCTTTTCTCCTTTTGAGGTCAAGGAACTGAAATCAGATCTTCGTTTGAGTGATTTTATCAGCTTTTTTCCTGCGCTCATTGTGTTTCTGGTTGAGCAAAAACTGTTGGACTGCAGAGAGGAAAATGTGAGGGGATTTTCTAGGCCAGTATAGACATGCATGCCTCCAGAGATATGGGGGGGGGGACTCAGCCTCTACATCCTTACCATGCAACTGGAACTGCCCCACAGGTTTTAAAGATGAACAATTAGAAGAAGACGCCTTCTCCTGACTGCTCCTCTGATAGTAGTTACTCTCTGCCAAATCCACAGTGCTTTTTGCCAAATCCCAAAATTGCAAAACCATTAGCTATCATTTCAGGAACAAGTTACACTGATTATTCAACATTAACAAATCAGTAAGACATGACATGAAGTCAGTTTTGGGTCTTCAAGGTGTAAAACCTCATGTCGACTTTGTGTTGCAATAGAAATGAAATCTGACAGAGATTTGATTAATTACTTTTAATTCCCAAACGAAGGTCTGAAGAGGATCATTGTCTTAGTAGAACTGTAGCCCTCAATCTGCTTTACAGTTGAGCCGCTCTTCTTGAATAAAAAAATATACAAAACTCCTCTCACAGGGACTATTTCCTTTTTTGGCAAGTGACTCTTAAATGCTGGTCCCTGTGCACACGTCCCCCGAGCGACATATTTTGTCAGTGCGTTGACATCGATGACTCGTCCTTCCCATGGCTCTTAAACAATGAGGCCGCCCGGCCCGGTAGAGCGGCCAAACGCAGGCTAACACATGCTAAAAACATTCGTGACACACGAGATCTGATGTAACTCTCTGCTGTATTGTTAAACTAAGTTGAATAACTATGCATGATCTTGGCTCAGGTGTCAAAGGAAAAAGGGGAGTGGGTGAGTGCGTCTGTAAATATGATTTTCACCGGGCGTTATCAGTGACAGATGTTTGGTCACGACACCTCCACATCTTCTCAGCAAAGCACTACACACATAGGATGAGCTGAATTTCAACGTATTTGGCTCAGAATTATTTCTGTTTATCCGGTGACAGAACAGAAGCCATCCGCAACACAACACGTCTCTGTTGT